ATCAGTTTTTTTTATAAAAAAACAACAACCCTCAGACATTAGACAAATCATATTTGAGTGAATAAGTGTTGTAGGAAATTGTCAGAACCAATAGTTTTATATGCAAGATGAATGATCAACAAGCACAGCAGAGGAGTGTATTACAGTGGTACCTCGGGTTACATTTGCTTCAGGTTACATACGCTTCAGGTTACAGACTCCGCTAACCCAGAAATAGTACCTCGGGTTAAGAACTTTGTTTCAGGATGAGAACAGAAATCGCACGGTGGCGGAAGGCCCCATTGGCTAAAGTGGTACCTCAGGTTAAGAACAGTTTCAGGTTAATGTCTGGATAAGATATAAAGATTTACTGGAAAATAAAACCCCAAGGTGGCTGTCACCAATGGAAGCAAAAGCTCTGAAAAGGCTCAATATGGAGGCCAAATGGCCGACATATTGGGAAATTTTGGAACAAGAAGGAGACAAGTTGAGATTGCAGAGTTTCGAAAAACTAAAAAACAAAGTGAGAGATTGGCTTCATTACTATCAGATAATGGAGGCATATAATTTGGATAAGAAAATTGGCTTCCAGGTGGAAAAGTCAAAATTAGAAACAGAACTGCTAGAACCCAAAACTAAGAATCTGTCAAGAATGTATAACTTGCTGTTGAAATGGAATACTCAGGATGAAACAGTGAAATCTGCTATGATTAAATGGGCACAAGATGTTGGACATAATATTATGTTTGCTGACTGGGAACAGTTATGGACCACAGGTATGATGTTCACGGCATGTAATGCCTTAAGAGAGAATATTATGAAAATGATATACAGGTGGTACATGACCCCAGTCAAGCTTGCAAAAATCTATCATTTGCCCGATAATAAATGCTGGAAATGTAAAGAAACTGAAGGTACATTCTTTCACCTTTGGTGGACGTGCCCAAAGATTAAGGCTTTCTGGGAAATGATATATAATGAACTGAAAAAGGTATTTAAATATACCTTCTTGAAGAAACCAGAGGCCTTTCTCCTGGGCATTGTCGGCCAACTGGTGCCAAAGAAGGACAGAACTTTTTTTATGTATGCTACAACAGCAGCAAGAATACTCATCGCAAAGTATTGGAAGACACAAGATCTACCCACTCTGGAAGAATGGCAGATGAAGGTGACTGACTACATGGAACTGGCAGAAATGACTGGCAGAATCCGAGACCAGGGAGAAGAGTCGGTGAAAGAAGACTGGAAGAAATTTAAAGACTATTTACAGAAATATTGTAAAATTAATGAATCTTAGAAGGATGTTGGATAGAAACTAAGTGGTTTCCAGCTGTAATGCTTTAAGAGATACGAATAAAGGTTTATAAATGGCTAAAAGCTTAATGGTAAGGATTTGCTGAACTAACAAACTGAACTGGAATACAAAAAAGGGAGGTATGAGGAGGTCCGTGGAAATAAGGGTAAGGAAGATATGCTATGGAAAGTTAACGTGTTTTTAACTGTTTTTATCTTGTATGTTTTTCTTTATTTTTCTTTTTTTGTTATATTTTAAAAATTTTATTCTTTTTTCTGTATTTTGTATTTTCTTGTATTTTTATTTTTTGTTTTTGTATTCTTTGAAACTTTAATAAATATCATTTAAAAAAAAAAAGAACAGTTTCAGGTTAAGAACGGACCTCCGGAACTAATTAAGTACTTAACCTGAGGTACCACTGTATTATTATTATTATTATTATTATTATTACCCCATCCACTTTGGGTGGCTCCCAACAGAATACCAAAAACACGATGAAAGATCAAACATTAAAAACTTCCCCAAACAGGCAGGGGCGGAGCTACCTGACCCAGCACCTGGAGCGGTGTGGTGGCAGGGCTAGCCACCCACACGGTGAGCGTCCTTAGCCACCCGCTGCCCATGCAGGGAGCATGGGGGGCACTGTTAGCCACCCACGTGGCAAGCATCCCTAGCCACCCGCCGCCCTCACAGCGAGCATTGGGAGGGGCGCCGCTAGCTGCCCACAGCAGCATCATTCCTAGCGGCCCACCACCCGCACAGCGAGCGTCCAGAGCCACCGCCCATGCGGTGAGTGGGGTGGTGGTGTGGCGATGTCACCCACCCTTACAGCTGACACCCAGTGCGCACTGCACCCCCCGCAACCACCTTCCTCTTCCAGGGCAAACATGGCTGCTTTCAGATGTCTTCTAAAAATCAGATAGTTGTCTATTTCCTTAACATCTAATGGGAGGGCATTCCACAGGGTGGACAGAAGGCCCTCTGCCTGGTTCCCTGTAACCTCACTTCTCGCAGTGAGGGAACCGCCAGAAGGCCCTCAAAGCTAGACCTCAGTGTCTGGGCTGAACAATGGGGGTGGAGATGCTCCTTCTGGTATATTGGGCCAAGCGTAAAAAAAGAAGAGGTCAATATTAAAGAGAAGGAAAATATTATGAATATATTACACTGGGCAACAATTTTTGCTTTTTGAATGTTGTCTAGATTTCTACAACTGATTTAGGGTATTTTTGCACTGCTGAATCAGGAAAGGGCATCTGTTTCACTCCATCAGGTCAGGTTTACTGTAAACTGAATGGTGGGCATTGATAAAGGTAAGTACACATGTTGCTTCACCATTTTTCAAACTTCAGGGCTTGAACTTCCGTTTCTTGGAACTCCTGGAATGCTCAGCAGCAGGGAGGTCTCTCTTCAGAGTTCAACAGTAGTCAGCCATCATGATTCCATCCCAGTGACCCTGATACCTGGTCTCCAGCTCTTTCATGTCCTGATGGAATCTCTCCCCCTGCTCGTCACTCATTGAACCCAGGTTCTCAGGAAACCGGTCCATATGTGAAAATAGGTAGTGCATCTTGACGCTCATGTTGCAGCCCAGGTTTCTGAAAGCAGTCAGCATGTTGTTGACAAGTTCTGCGTAGTTTCTGGCCTTATTGTTGCCAAGAAAGTTCTTCACTACCAGAACAAATGCCTTCCGTGTTTCCAGTTCCACTTCGTTCATTGACTTTCCGAACTCTGAATCTCTGATGAGCTGACGGATCTGAGGACCGTCAAAGATGCCAGCTTTCAACTTCTCCATGGTCAATCCTGGAAAAGCCTGGCACAAGTAAGTGAAGCAGTCACCATCCTTGTCCAGAGCCTTGGTGAACTGCTTGATTAAGCCGAGCTTGATGTGCAGCGGTGGGAAGAGTATTCTGTCTCTGTCCACCAGAGGGTCATTGATGATGTTCCTTTCTTTGCAAGGCACCAATTCCTCCCGCACAGGCCAGTCCTCCTTCGTGTAATGCTGAGCACGGTCCCTACTATCCCACATGCACAGAAAACATGGGTACTTGGTGAAGCCAGACTGTTGTCCCAACAAAAAGTTCACCATCTTCAGGTCAACACAAATAAACCACTTATGCTGATCCTAACCAATTTTCTCCAGCACATACTTCACCGCTTCATAGTTCTCCTTCAGTGTACTCGAGTGAGCCCAGGGTTATAGAGGCAAACTGGTTGCCGTTGTGTAGCAGAACACATTTCAGTGATCGCTTGCTGCTGTCAGTGAACAGTCTCCAATCTTTGGGTTCGTACTGTGGCACTCCAAGCTTGAGCAGAAGCTGCGCAATATCTGCACAGTACACCAAGTCCTTCTCTTCCGAGAAAAAACAGAGGTACTCTTGATGCCTGTTGTGGAAGAAGCTGATGCGAGTACTGTCAGAGAGAAGGTTTTTTTCCTTCAATCTGGATGCCAACAGTTCGGCAGAGTCCTTTGACAAGCTGAGGTCGCAAACTAGATCATTCAACTCTTTTTGGGAAAATGGATGTGGAGCATCATCTTCAAGAACCACTTCTTCTTCTTCATGTCCTTCAACACTGGAGGCATCTTCGTCACTAATGTCAGGAAGTTCTCCAAAGATAGGTACTGGAATTTCATCACAATGAGCTACAGGACGACGTGCTGATTGAAGATCAGGATACTTTGTGGGGCGGCTGCCCCATTAACTTAGTTTTGATCCCCCAACTTTATGCTTTGCCGCACCAATTTATGGAAGATTTCGAGGTTTTATGACTTCAAACTGATCCCTTTTGACATAATCACCCAGAACTATCGGACCTGAATACTTCTTGTCATTAAAATAATCATTTCCAATCAAAACAATTATTTGACATGGCATTTTACCCCCACCAACTTCTTCTAAAATGCTCCACACAAGCATACATGTGAACAAAAACGTAAAAAAAGACATGTGGCCATAGCTCAAAAACGTGACCTGATTGAGCAAAACCAATGTGATTTTTGGATTCAGCACACCAGATTCATCCTAAATCAACTGAAAAAACGCAGACAACAAATTTGTTGTTGACCAGTGTTATGAATATTATGAAAGGGAGGGAGCTACAATCTCCTTGGATGTCATGTGGGTTCCCTGCAGCATCTGCTCCTGAAATATGATTGGCCCCATAGCTAAGGCCACATTCACACCATACATTTAAAGTGTTATGTTTTTTAAGGGTGCTGAGAGTTGTTAGCAGGCCTTTATTTCCCTCACAGAACTACAGTTTTCAGAATAGTTTATCAATCAATCCCTCTTCCCAGAGAATTGTAGCTGTGGGAGAGAAATAGGGGCCTCCTAACAGCTCTCAGCACCCTTAACAAACCACAGCTCCCATAATTCCCTGGGGAGCTCCGTGGGACTTGTTTTAACTTTGGATAGTTTTCAAGTTTAATTGTAAACAGAAAGTCCTATTAGCATCTTTCAAAGTATGGTGAATGCCCTGGGGCATAATACTGAAGGCAGAGGCAGGCTGGGGGAGGAGAGGTGGGTCCACTGGACTGAAGAAAATAATTGCAGTAATTACAGGAAAAAGGAAGGAATTACCATGTCCTCGTTTCAATTGCGTGATTTCTCAGTGGGTTTCCTATCAACTTGTACCAGACCGAGGTTTACCATATGTGAGTTTTTTATTAATTATAAATCTGGAAGAATTAAAGTGTGATTAATCTGTAGTATCACACCAATAAAATAAACCAGTCAAATTGTGTCAGTAGAGAGCCTCTTATCATTTTGCTTTCTTGTACAGTATGCTTTTCTTGTATGCAGAGTTTTGTTCTTTTAGTGAAGTTTCCTACTCTGAGTCACATGATGCCAGATAGGCTTTTGTGTGAATTGTCTGAGGAGAAATGTCATACTGTCTCACTTCCTGGGCTTCCCCCCCACAAATTCTTTTTCCATTACCATTTCTTTTGAACTTGTGAATTTTCAGCACTGCACTTCTCACGCAGGCACGTTGTTCATTTCATCGGCAGATTTAGCTCTGTCCTGAACCCCTGGCTTACCTGGCAGCAAGTCAGTGTGCAAAGTCCAAAGTTCAAAGTCTTGGGGTCAATCCACACAGGCAAAGTCCAAAGGTCAGGAAACGCAGTCCAGGATCAATCCAGATAGCCAAGTCTGAAGTCCAGCAGACACAGTACCTGGGCTTGATGAGGCATATGACTCTCACCTGTTCCAAGCCTACTCCAGCTGAGGAATCACACCTCTCCTCCCAGACCTAGCAAACCTCACCTGGCCATCTAGTGAGCAGGGTTGTGGGCCCTGGCCTTCCTCAGCCTCCTAGAGTGCCTCTCCTGCTGCTCCCTACGCCTCAGAACCTGCCATGTTCATGGAGACAGGGGCCCCTCGGGCTCTGGTGTAAGAAAAACACTGGGGCCTAATTTGACCAGTACAGTCAAACCTCAGTTTTTGAACATCCCGGCTGCTGAACGTTTTGGAAGCTGAACGCCAAAAAACAGGAATTGAATATGTTATGTACTGAGTTGAATAGGATCCAAAAAGCAGAAGTCTGATTGGTCCTAGAACAAAAGGATTCAGAATGCAGCAGTCTGATTGGTTCTAGAACAATGCAGCAATATGATTGGTCCACAGGAGCCACCCAATCCAGCTCCAGATGGAGGTGAATCCGCAGCCTGATTGGACTACAGGGGAATCCCAGAATTAGCCAATCGTGTGCGACCCATTGTGTAAATAATGTATATAAAGCAGATATTTTGGGGGAACTTTCATTCCTCACTACTATGAGCTGAATAAAGAGCATGAAATCCACACTCGACTCCGAGTATATTTCAGAATGCTTCCGTTTTCAAACGTTCATCAGAAGCCGAACGGCTTCTGAGGCGCGTTTCTCCATTTTTCTCAATAGAACTTGCTGACAGTCCTTTGATCCTCGGTTTTCGAAAGTCAAACGGGCTTCCGGAACGGATTATGTTCAAAAACTGAGGTTCCACTGTAGAATGTTTGGTGGGCGGGGCTTGTGTGTTATGCTCTGGAATCAGCCCCTCCCTTCTGTGTTCTGTTAAGTTTCAGTTAAGAGGGACCAACTGCCTCTTTTCATTTCTTTCCTCATGTTGTTGTCTTTAGTTTCTCGCACTATGTTATTTTGTTACTGTTTTCTTTATTATTAAAGCTTAGTTTACTTATTTCTCTCAAAGAAATCTGTTGAGAAAGGTGTGGGATGTCCTAAACTGCGGGAGTGAGGGGATATTCCCAGTTTGCCAGGAGAATTTATTTTGTTAATCATCTCCCCATCTCCACAACAGATGGGTCCTGCTGCTCTGGTTCCTGTGCCTTGACCCCCAACCTCTGTTACCCTGTGAGTACTTCCTACACCAAATTCTCCATCCCCAGTCCCAGCTACACCCCTCACCAGAATCCTCCTCCCCATCATCCTGCCAGTTCATGACAAGCAGCAGCTGAACTTGACTGCCTTGTGATTCCATTTCGAGGAAAGACCGGAAAAGAAACTTTCATTCACATTTGTTATTGGAATGCCTATAGTCAATTTTGTGTAACTGCAGATTCATTGTTTCAGAAAAATAAATTAAGGGGCTTAACCTAGGGTGGTCACATTTAATAATTACTTTGAAGAGTGGATTTCAGCAAGTGTAGCTTGTGTGAAGAGTGCATGCAAAGATTTGTTTAGGACAGTCAAACAAAATGCCACAAGACCGATGGTCTGGATGGCCTCCAACAGGGCTCTGTTGAGGGAACACTACAATAATCCCTGTACAAGAAATATTACAAAATTCAGGCTATCGGACAAATTGGGTTTAGTCTTGCACATTTAAATCCAGTGGGAACACCAGCATCTATCTTTGTGTGCTTCAGATTGATTTGTTTTGATCTCTGGATTACCATGTATCACTAAGGCTCATAGCAGGTTTCAAAACATCCATTTTAACGTATCCTTGAATATAGAAATAAGATTAAAAGTCCTATCAGAAAGCACTCACCATTATGTCTCTTTCTCAGGCCCAACATTATTCACAATTTAAAAGAAGAAAAAAGAATTGTGCTTACACCAGCAAGGGGATCATCTATCTTGGACCTGGTCCCCACCAATAGGGAGGAACTAATTGATGAGGTGGAAGTGCTCAGAAATTTGGGAGGATGTGATCATGTTTTCCTGGGTCTCAGGAAACAGAGGCAAGAGAAAACTGAGTGTAGTCAGACACACATAGCGAATGCTATTCTAGGCTGCATCAACAGAAGTATAGCGTCCAGATCAAGGGAGGTAATAGTACCACTTAGTCAGACCACACTTGGAATACTGTGTCCAATTCTGGGCACCACCATTTAATAAGGATGTTGACAAGCTGGAATGTGTGCAGAGGAGGGCAACCAAAAGGATCAAGGGTCTGGAAACTAAGCCTTATGGGGAGCACTTGAAGGAGCTGGGTATGTTTCACTTGGAAAAAAGGGGACTGAGAGGAGATATGATAGCCATCTTCAAATATCTTAAGGGCTGTCACATGGAGGAGGGAGCATGCTTGTTTTCTCCTGCTCTGGAGGGTAGGACTGGAACCAATGGCTTCAAGTTGCAAGAAAGGAGATTCTGACTAAGCATTCAAAATCTTTCTGACAGTAAGAGCTGTTCAGGAGTGGAACAGACTCCCAAGAGAGGTGGTGGACTCTCCTTCCTTGGAGGTTTTTAAACAGAGGTTGGATGGTCATCTGTCATGGATGCTTTAGCTGAGATTCCTGCATTGCAGGGGTTGGACTAGATGACCCTTGGGATCCCTTCCAACTCTATGATTCTATGGCACACTGGCCGCTTTTATTTTAAAGGAAAAAGAGCTGTGGCCCTAACCAAAAACACACTCCCAATCTGGATTGGGGCTCTGTGCCAGTTTTCTGCTTCTTGATTTGACTGCAAACATCACCTTTCAGGGCAAATAACAACCAGGGGTATAAGGTCCTCTGCTGGATCAGCAGGAGCACATTCTAGATCAGGGGGCCCCACTGTAGTTTCATAAAAGTCTGTCTGTAGGCTGACAGAGAGAATACGTTTTCTTCCATCTAGACCAGGGGAAAAGGGCAAAGAGAACGATGCTTCCCTGTTTATGTAATTTTAAATTATCTGGATATCTACAGGGTGCTTTTTTCTGGGGGGATGAAGGGGGATGCATACCCCTAAACATTTTGTGAATCTAAGTTTGTCCTCATTGAGGGACGGTATTTCAATATGAGTAGGAAAATGAGAGTACCCCTAAACATTTTTTAGGAAAGAAAAAAAGCACTGTATCTACATGAAAGATATATCTTCATGTCAGTTGGCCTACTTAGAGAAGAGCAGATGAAACAGAAATTCACCACCACCCACTTCTATTTATTTGTCACATCGGATGAGAAGTTTCTAGGAGGACGGGAGCCAAATTATTAAACAGAGCAGAGCTCTAAATGGGTGCTTTTTATAAACCTGTAGTTCTCTTTCTTTCAACAACACCCCATATAAAATAATAAGAAACACCACACTGCCTCAATTTGGGATCCACGTGTGAATATTGCTGCATAAAGGTAGTGACAGAATGCAACTTGATGATTTGCTATTTTTACACTGGTGCTCTGTCGGGCAATAAGGCAACTGAGGCTACTCCTGCAGATTTATCCTCCAGTCTTTTGCCTATCTCCCTTCCTTACGCTACTGCACTGAGCAGTCCTCTTATGAGATAGGGAGACAGGCTCCTAGCAAAGTGGCCCCTCAGCCAGTCATTTGCCACACAAGGAAGGGGCAACGCAGGATGGCTACAGAGCACTGCAGTAATTATCAGGGGCAGTTACTCTTGTAGAGACCCCATTAGCCGGCCCAAATTATGGCTATGGCCATGGCAAGAGGCTTTGCCTGTGTAAAAAGGTAAAGGGACCCCTGACCATTAGGTCCAGTCGTGACCGACTCTGGGGTTGCGGCGCTCATCTCGCTTTATTGGCTGAGGGAGCCGGCGTACAGCTTCCGGGTCATGTGGCCAGCATGACTAAGCCGCTTCTGGCAAACCAGAGCAGCACACGGAAACGCCGTTTACCTTCCCGCCATAGCAGTTCCTATTTATCTACTTGCACTTTGACGTGCTTTCAAACTGCTAGGTTGGCAGGAGCAGGGACCGAGCAACGGGAGCTCACCCCATTGCAGGGATTTGAACCGCCAACCTTCTGATCGGCAAGTCCTAGGCTCTGTGGTTTAACCCACAGTACGACCCGTGTCCCTTTTGCCTGTGTAAATAGACCTTAGAAAACAACAACACTGGAAGTGATCAATGATCAAGAGCTCAGCATGCATGCTGCACCAAAATGGTACAATAAACTAATCTACAAGTAGCGTTCTTGAGCAAAAGTTATGCTGGGACTTACCGTTTCTGAGCTTCGTAAGTCTCAGAAAGCTTCACTGATGTTCTGTGCCCTCAAGAGGGCTAGAAGCTTGATTTTTGAGGTGAGATTTTTGAGGATCCTAAAGGGATGAGGGCAGACTGCTAGTCGAAATTGCTTCATTTCCCCTTTCCAGGTAATCTTACACGCAGAAAAAAATAGATCTGTTTGTGGTATAAAGACCTGTTTTGAAAGCACCCACAGCTGCAGTGGTGGTAGCAATAGAGCAAGCACATTATTTCAGTGTGTGTACACAAAACCAGAGGTGGAGGTAATTGTACAGCAGAACTGGTGGCAGGAAGGATTTTTGTCCTTTCCCCTGCATGCTGAGTCTCTTTTCATGCCATTTCTTCCCACACACGTTTGTGTCCAATCTCAGAATTGCACCGGTTCTTTCACACAAGTTCTTTCATCTACAACTGCCATTTTTTGTTCACTAACTTATAAGAGAGATTCACAGAACATTATGTGATCGTTCCATTCCAGTGTTTCCCAGGTTCTATTCTTGTATGTTTTTCAGACTAGATCCGTGGCAATTTTAAATGAATTAGGTAAAGGGACCCCTGACAATTAAGTCCAGTTGCGAACGACTCTGGGGTTGCGGCACTCATCTGGCTTTAAAGGCCAAGGGAGCCGTGTTTGTCTGCTTCTGCAGACAGTTTTTCCAGGTCATGTGGCCAGCATGACTAAGCCACTTCTGGTGAACCAGAGCAGCGCACGGAAACGCCATTTACCTTCCCGCCAGAGCGGTACTTATTTATCTACTTGCACTCTGATGTGCTTTCGAACTGCTAGGTGGGCAGGAGCTGGGACCCAACAACGGGAGCTCACCCCATTGCGGGGATTCGAACTGCCGACCTTTCGATTGGCAAGCCCAAGCAGCACAGTGGTTTAACCCACAGCGCCACCCACGTCCGCTTTAAATGAATTAGCTAGCTATAAAATGCAGCTGCAGCAACAGACTGTCCAGTAGCCTTGCAAAGTGTTATTATGCCCTTTTAAATTACCTTAATATGAAAACGTCCTGGGGGTTTCATCCCCCTCCCAATATGATTGACTGCACTCGCTTTTACAGCCCCACCAGAGTTTCCACCAAGCATGCTGGTACCTCCTTCTTCTTTCTCAGCAGTTGTGTCTTGACTACAGTCCTGTCAACCGACTTTGTTATGAGAAGGAAGTGATGAGTGGACATGAAAGATCTTGACCAGGGGTAGGCAACATAAGGCCCGGGGGCCGGATGTGGCCCAATAGCCTTCTCAATCCGGCCCACGGACATTCCGGGAATCAGCGTGTTTTTACATGAGTAGTATGTGTGCTTTTATTTAAAATGCATCTCTGGGTTATTTGTGGGGCATAGGAATTCGCTCATTCCCCCCCAAAAAAATAATATAGTCCAGCCCACCACATGGTCTGAGGGACGGTGGACTGGCCCACGGCTGAAAAAGGTTGCTGACCCCTGATCTTGACAATAGGAAAAGGCACTGCTATCTTATAGCATATGTACCGGTAAGTGCTGTGTTGAACCTCCATTTTTAATTCCACTTCTTCTGAATCAAACAGAAGCAATGTCTCAGCTCTAAGAGGTTCTAGCATGGAAGCAACCAAAGGAATATCTGTAAGGTTATGTAGCTCCAATCCAATCCACTTACCACCACCACCCCGCAAATATCTCCCCAAGCTTCCATATTACATGAGAACACCGATGATTTGGCAACACCATCTTGGTTTAGAAATGATTTGGTCTCCCATTAGACTAGGACAGGCACGTCCCACAGATAGATCGTGAGCTACTGGTAGATCACTGGATGTTTGTGGTAGATCACTGGTAGATCACTGGCTCCCCCCCCTAAAAAAGCTCAACATTTTTGCTCTGCACCCCCCAAAAGGGGGTAGATCACTGCCAGTTTTTAACTCTGTGAGTAGATCGCAGTCTCTTGGGAGTTCCCCTGGACTAGGAGAAAGCAAGGGCTTTTTGAAAGATACAGGTCTTGTTCCATATTTGCCAGTTCACATATTAAACTTCACATAGTAAACACTTTAGGTACTATTAAAACTATTTTAGAGCTGTCCAAGGTCTGGTGCTTGCCTAGTTTGGATTTTTTTCTCTCCCCACTCAGTCTTGGGGCGAATCTCCCCATCTTGTAGCACAGACACTGCTTCAATTTCAAAAATGTTTTGCTATGCCTCAAGAGAAAGAGAGAGAGCTGCTTTTCAAGTAACGCTAGTCCAAATCCCCCTTGGATATGCAGAACATAATCACGCTGTTATT